GGCTGGATCACCCTGCATGTTCCTCCGTCTCTGCTGGCTCTTCGGTATGAGGCCTTCTGTACTAGGCAGACTCTTCTCATACAGTTGTACCCTCACCGGCAGTCTTTGCTTATTGAGTAGTTTTAATATTCAGTTTAAATGGGGGTATAATTAAAGTTTTGTAATCTCAGTTTATTGTGAAAGCGCAAATGTATACATACAATTCTACACAATATGCACAATGGGTATTACATTTATTTATGCTGTGATTAATTCCTTTCTATATTTAGAATCAGAACTCCCAAGTACTTCTTTTGATTATGTCATTTTCTATTCGAAACTTTTTATTTTGGTGTACTCCCACTTGATTATTTTTACTATTTAGTTTTCATGGAGGGACATATCCAGGACAAAATTGCTAATGCCAATGTTGAAGGGTTAACTACCTCTTTTCTCTTAAGAGTTTTAAGGTTTCATCCATGGGTATTAAACTGAAGGAAATAAATTAATTCAAAAAGATATATGCACCCTATGTTTAATGTAGCATTATTTACAATAGCCATGATATGGAAGCAAATTATGTGTCCATTGATAACTGAATGTAAGAAAATTGGTATTTATGTGAAATGAAATATTAATCAGTCATAAAAAGACTGTAATCTTGTCCTTGTGACAACATGGATGGATCTAGAAAATATATGCTAAGTCAAATGCATTAGCTAAGATAATTCATATGTGGAACCTAATAAAATTAAAAACAAACAAAGATAAATAGACTAAAAAATACAGAGAACAGACTGGTGATTGACGAAGGGAGTGGTGAGGGAAAGGGTGAAATATGTGAAGGGTATATAGAGTGACATCTTTCAGTTATAAAATAAGTAATTTGCAAGATAAAAGTATAACATAGGAAAAACAGTAAAAGATATTCTAATAGCTTTGTATGTTAACAGACTCTAACCACGTTTAATGTGGTGAGCATTTCATGATACATATAAATCGTCAAATCACTGTCCTGTACACCTGAAACCAATACAATATTACAGACTAACTATACTTCTGCACACACACACACACACACACACACACACACACACATGAACACCCAAGTCCCAGTCTCTCCTCCACCACATAAAAGTTGTGTCTTGGAACAAACCGTGAGCACATCTGACCATCAGTTCTATTACCTATGAAATGAGAACTAATATTCCCTCTACTGTTCATCTCTCATCATTTATCCTTGGAAAAGAGAAACTGATGGATGTGAGGGTGCAGAGATGAAACCCAATAAAAACAATTACAACATTCTTCTCTTCCCTGTAGGAATATATATAAGTGGTTTAATTTAACTTTATGTCAGAGGGAAACTTCAAACAGCCCATGTGCTTCCACTAGTCCCCACTCTGAGGAAGATGACAGTCTCAGCCTCACAAAGAAAACCCTCCCATTGGGTGTGATTTGAATGTTTAAATGGGCCTATTTTGTACCACAGGAATGTCCCAATGCCCAAAAGAAGAACCAGCAGTGCCAGACTTAGGGAGAAGCACCACTTCTGTCTCAACACATCCTTTGAGCCAATAAACTCTATTGTAAGAAGTACTTTTGCATTCAAAAATACATCAAAAAGATCATCAATCATGATCAAGTGGGATTCATTCCGAGGATGCAAGGATGGTACAACATTCAAAAATCCACCAACATCATCCACTACATCAAAAAAAAGAAGGACAAAAACCACATGATCATCTCCATAGATGCTGACAAAGCATTTGACAAAATTCAACATCCATTCATGATAAAAACTCTCAACAAAATGGGTATAGAGGGCAAGTACCTCCACATAATAAAGGCCATATATGATAAACCCACAGCCAACATTATACTTAACAGCAAGAAGCTGAAAACTTTTTCCTTAAGTTTGGGAACAAGACAAGGATGCCCACTCTCCCCACTTTTATTCAACTTAGTTCTGGAGGTCCTAGCCATGGCATTCAGACAACACAAAGAAATAAAAGGCATCCAGATTGTCAAGGAAGAAGTCAAGCTGTCCCTGTTTGCAGATGACATGGTATTGTACATAAAAAAACCCCTAAAGAATCTACTCCAAAACTATTACATCTAATATCTGAATTCACTAAAGTGGTAAGATACAAAATTAATACATAGAAATCTGTTGCATTCCTATTCACTAACAATGAACTAGCAGAAAGAGAAATCAGGAAAACAATTCCATTCACAATGGCATCAAAAAGAATAAAATACCTAGGAATAAACCTAACCAAGGAAGTGAAAGACTTATATTGTGAAAACTACAAGATACACATGAGAGAAATTACATAAGGTACCAATACATGGAAACACATTCCATGCTCATAGATAGGCAGAATTAATATTGTCAAAATGGCCATCCTGCCTATAGCAATCGACATATTCAATGCAATCCCTATCAAAATACCAACAGCATTCTTCAACAAACTAGAACAAATAGTTATAAAATTTATATGTAACCGCAAAAGACCCTGAATAGCCAAAGCAATCCTGAGAAGGAAGAATAAAGCAGGGAGAATTATGTTCCCTGACTTCAAGCTCTACTACAAAGTCACAGTAATCAAGACAATTTGGTACTGGCACAAGAACAGACCCATAGACCAATGGAACAGACTAGAGAACCCAGATATAAACCCAAGCATATATGAGCATATATGGTCAATTAATATATGATAAATGAGCCATGGACATACAATGGGGAAATGACAGCCTCTTCAACAGCTGGTGTTGGTAAAACTGGACAGCTACATGCAAGAGAAAGAAACTGGATTATTGTCTAACCCCATACACAAAAGTAAACTCGAAATGGATCAAAGACCTGAATTTAAGTCATGAAACCATAAACCTCTTAGAAAAAAACATAGACAAAAATGTCTTGGACATAAACATGAGTGACTTCTTCATGAACATATCTCTCCGGGCAAGGGAAACAAAAGCAAAAATGAACAAGTGGGACTATATCAAACTAAAAAGCCTCTGTATAGCAAAGGACACCATCAGTAGAACAAAAAGACATCCTACAGTATGGGAGAATATATTCATAAATGGCATATCCGATAAGGTGTTAACATCCAAATTACATAAAGAGCTCACGCACCTCAACAAACAAAAAGCAAATAAGCCAATTAAAAAATGGGCAGAGTAGATGAACAGACACCTCTCCAAAGAAGAAATTCAGATGGCCAACAGGCACATGAAAAGATGCTCCACATCACTAGTCATCATAGAAATGCAAATTAAAACCAGTGAGATATCACCTCACACCAGTTAGGATGGCCACCATCCAAAAGACAAAAAACAGCAAATTTTGGCGAGGATGTGGAGAAAGGGGAACCCTCCTACACTGCTGGTGGGAATGTAAGTTAGTGCAACCATTGTGGAAAGCAGTATGGAGGTACCTCAGAAAACTAAAAATAGAAACACCATTTGACCCAGTACCTCCACTCCTAGGAATTTACCCTAGGAATGCAGCAGCCCAGTTTGAAAAAGACATATGCACCCTTATGTTTATCACAGCACTTTTTACAATAGCCAAGAAACAGAAGCAACCTAAGTGTCCATCAGTAGATTAATGGATAAAGAAGATGTGGTACATATACACAATAGAATATTATTCAGCCATAAGAAGAAAACATAGTCTACCATTTGCAACAACATGGATAAAGCTAGAGGGTATTATGCTCAGTGAAAAAAGCCAGGCGGAGAAAGACAAATACCAAATGATTTCACTCATATGTGGAGTATAAGAACAAAGAAAAAAAAGAAGGAACAAAACAGCAGCAGAATCACAGAACCCAAGAATGGACTAACAGTTACCAAAGGGAAAGGGACTGGGGAGAATGGGAGGGAAAGGAGGGTTAAGGGGGAAAAAGGGGTATTACAATTAGAACACATAATGTAGTGGGGGGAGGGATACGGGAAGGCACTATAACACAAAGAAGACAAGTAGTGATTCTATAGCATCTTCCTACACTGATAGACAGTGACTGTAATGGGGTATGTGGTGGGGACTTGATAATAGGGGAGTCTAGTAACTATAATGTTGCTCATGTAATTGTACATTAATAATACCAAAATAAAGAAAAGAAGTAATTTTGACCATAAAGACTGATTTTAGGACCTATCAACATACAGTATGTAGCTCTACTCCACTGCATTATGAGTATCTCCATGTATATCTTTATCTTACCATGACTTAATGATTGTGACATATATCCCCAAGCCATAGTTGTTAGGCAACTTAAGGTTCAAAATGCTTGTGTGTGTGTGTGCATGCAGAAGGGTGTGCCTGTGTGTGTTTACATAAACAAGCAAATGATCACATGCATACATGCACATAATGTTTATTAATTGAATCAGTAACTGAACTTCAGCAGCCTGTCTATACAATAAATATACATTAACAATCTATTGTGTGTGTCAGTTGCATAATTACAAGGGTAAATAAGAAATCTCTGCCAAAAGAAGCCTACTGCATAGTGTTTACACCTGGAAAGGCGATTATATTTTATAGCCTTTGGGGAACCTGCTCTCTGTGTGTAACTGGCATTTAAAGGAGGCACATCCCTGATCAAGGGAGAATGTAAAACAGGAGAGGAAAGAAATGATCATCTCTTTCCTGAATCCAGTGGAATATGATAAATGGCAGACAGGAAATCCTTCAATAAAAAAACAAAGCTCAATGGTCCAATATTACCCTAATGTTACTTTTCTAAACCATTTACAACTCTGTTCAATTTTTTCCCAAGAGAAAAAACAAACACCATAATGACCATGGGGAACAAAATGCACACTTTAATGTTGTTTACAATCAGGTAAAAGAAGAAAAGAGGAAATGATGAAAACAGTGAGGTAGGAAGATGTACCATTAAAAAACTGGAAACAAATTGAAATGATACAAATTTCCTACACCATGGTAAAAAGGCTTTCACTAAACTACTACAATGAACAGAATATAGCAGTTCCATAATTACCTACAAAATAACACTGTTTCTGATAAAAAAATTTCTCCTACTCAGTGTTTTTCTCAGAGCAACTTTAACATCTTTATTCCTCAAGCTATAAATTAAAGGGTTCATCATGGGGACCACATTGGTATAAAAGACAGAAGAGATTTTTCCCATATCCACAGACCCAGCAGAAGATGGTTGGAGATACATAAATGAAAATGATCCAAAGAACAAAGAAACAGCAATGATGTGGGAGCTGCAGGTGCTGAAGGCTTTGGACCTGCCCACAGTGGAGCTGATGTGGAGGATGCTGGAGAGGATGAAACCGTAGGAGACAAAGATGGTGAGACAGGGCACAATGATGTTGATGCCCGCCACAATGAACACCACCAGCTCATTGACACGGGTGCTGGTGCAGGAGAGCTGGAGCACAGGGAGGACGTCACATAAATAATGGTTGATGGTGTTGGCATCACAGAAGGTCAGTCTCAGCAGGCATCCAGTGTGGGCCATGGAGCCAGAAAAGGCCAACAAGTATGAACCAAGCATAAGGCTGGAACACACTTTAGGGGACATGGCAGCATTATACAAGAGTGGGTTGCAGATGGCCACATAGCGGTCATAGGCCATTGATGCCAGCACATAGCATTCAGAAATAGCAAAAAAACAGAAAAACCAGAACTGGGTCATGCACCCCACATATGAGATTATATTTTTCTTGGGTAAGAAACTCATCAACATTTTCGGTGTAAATACCGAAGAATAACAAAGATCTATAAAAGACAAGTTGAAGAGGAAAAAGTACATGGGGGTGTGCAGATGTGAATTCAGCCCAATTAGAGTTATCAAGCTAAAATTTCCCAACTCAGTGAGCACATACATTACTAGAAACAGGCAGAAAAGGGGCAGCTGGAGATCTGGTTTGTCTGTTAATCCCAACAGAATAAATTCAGCAATGAGAGAGCCATTTCCTGGAGCCATTCTTTTCCAAGGTAACCTGTGAGCACAGGAATAAAGGTTAAAGTAAAGGAAAAGCAGCTCTTCCTTTAATATTTCTTCCTCCAAGAAGACATATGGGCTGGAAATATCTGAGAATAATCCAATCTTAAAATCTGCCTTTACAGTCTCACACCGAGTGACACTAACACTCCCTTTATTAGAGCCCTTATGAGATAAATGTAACAAGTAATCACAAAATGAGGCTGCAAGAGGGAAGGCCAGTGCTGACCTACACAAACACTGCTGGTAAGAAAACCAAGGGAAAAGGGATGAGGAAGGATATTCCAAGAAAGATTGTTCTATTCTCATCTCAGCATGTCCGCATTCACTTGAACCCTCTCCTCGCCAGTAATATCGGAGGCAGAGATCCCAATATCCAGGTGCTGCCCTATAATGCAGTTCAGAGTTAGTGTTGGGGAACCAGAACACAGCTTCTAATCTAACACTGAGGGGTCACACTTAGAGAGATTAAGCTACTGCCTATGTCAAAGTGAAAGCCATAAATTATAAAAGAGCAAGAATTCCTTCCGTAGAGAGGGATCTTACTAAGTTCTGCCCCCCCACCGAGCCCCTTAATGTCTCTGAATATTTAGACATCTTGCCTCAAACACATTCTTCTTCCAGTTTCACTTGAATCTCAGAACTGCACAAAATGGAAAAGAAAGTGGCCTGTCATGGGTCTCTGTATACCCACCTCACAACAAGAAGGACCCTCATGTAAACGGAAGTCAACAGCTCACCCTCCTTAGGCCAGAAAACCTCGGTGCTTCCTTAGTATCATCTTTTCACCCCTGTGGTCTCAGAAGGACAGTTTCAGGCTGAAACTTTGGCTCTTGATTCTAAGAGAATGCTGTAGATTTTATCTCAGATGTGCTTTGTAAATCTTTCTGAACTAGAGGTCATAATATCAGAATACAACATTGGGTCTTCTTAAACAACAGAGAAAAATAACTTCTTTTTTTGCTACCATATTTGCCACTTGTTAAGATACAGAGGATTGAATGTGGATTTAATGAAATAATGCATGTGGTTATAAACAGGGTAGAAGCTGGCTTAGTCTCTTTCCCATGAGAATAAGGGAAAAGAGAATAACAGGATTGTGTACTACATCCTGGGCCATGGGTCTCTCTTTACTTCCTTAGGGACTCTAACTCATTTTTCTGGTTACTGTAGGGATTGCCCATCTCCCAAAACTGCACTCCCATCTCCCTGCCTTCATCATCTCTGAAGGGAAATGTATGCTATTCTTTCTTTCTTCCCAGATCCTAAGTGGAACATTTTCTGCAAGGGTTCTGATTCCAGGATTCTTTGTTTCTTTTTTGAAATTTTTCAAGATGCAGTATATCATTTCAAATGTCTCCCTCCTGTGATATCTCTAAAATAACTTGCGATGTCATGTATTCATTGTAAAGTCTTAACTTCTGAACACCTACTGGAAATATCTACCTCACTATCCTGCTGAGACCATTTATGAAACATTTCAGTGACTGAGATCATCTATTTCTTCTCAACACAAACAGAATAGGGAGTAAAAACTTAGAGGGTGTGTGTATGAGTCCTCTCCCCGCCCTCACTAACAGTAACACCTTAGAAAAATTAATTTCTTTCTTCCTGTGGCTCTTTTTTGTAAAATAGTTATGGTAAAACAGCATCTCTTTCAATGAGCCGTTATGATGATAACATGAAAAAATGAAAGTCAAAAGGTTACAACAGTGCCTGGTCTATGGTAAATAGTCAATGTCAGCTGTCATTTTTTGTGTTTTCATAAATTCTCGCAGATCTTCCATCATGACACTCATCAGACTTTTATTTTCCTTAAGTCTTCTGTTTTCTTCCAGTTTCATTTGAATCTCAGAGATTTTCCAATGCTGGCTTAATAAGATGTAAGAAGTGTCCCTTTGTCTGCTATTTTTTAGAAGAGTTTAAAGAGATTTAGTACCATTTCTTCTTGGAATGTTTGGTACTATTCACTCAGGCCATCTGAGCCTGGAGTTTTCTTGTTGAGATGTTCTGATTACAGATTCAATCTTTCAGTGTTTGGTGTTTTCAGACTTTCTTGTTATTATTGAGTTTTGGTAGGTTGTGTGTTTCTAGGAACTGATCCGTTTGTTCTAGGTTATCCACCTTGTTGTCATCTGATGGTCATAATAGTACATTGTGATCCTTTTGATTTTTGAGTCATCTGCTGTAATGCCTTCTCTTTCATCACTTAATATATTGGATTCTTCTCCCTTTTTTTCTCAGACTATAAAAACAATTTTAAATTCTGATACGTTTTAAAAATACCTAATCTTTGATTTATTGCTTTTTCTATTCTCTATTTGATTTATTTCTGCTCTTACCTTTATTACTTGATGTCTACATTAACTTTAGGCTTTTTATTGTTGTTCATTGATGTATAAAGCTAGGCTTTTTTATTTCAGATCTTTCTTTGTCTTTTGTATACCTATCTAAAAACGTTCCTTTAGAACTGCTTTTAAATGATTACATAATTTTTGGCATGTTATATTTTCATTTTTATCTATCCCAAGCTATTTTAGGTTCCATGTGATTTCTTCTTTGACCTAATGGTTCTTCAGGACTGTATACTGACCTTCCATATATTTGTGAGTTTTCCCCTTTTTCACTATTACTGCTATCTAGTGGCATTCTATTCTGGTCCAAAAGATACTTGCAAGGATTTCTATCTTCTTAAATTCGTTGACTTGTTGTGGGACATAATATGCAATCTATCCTGGAAACGTCCCACAGGGACTTGGGAAGAATGTAAACCCATTTGTTGTTCAGTGAAAAGTTCTCTTATGTCTCTTAGTTCCCTTTTGTCTATAGGGTTGGTCAAGTCAGCAGCTCTTTCCTGATTTTGTGTCTGGATGTTCTTTCCATTGTTGAAGGAGGGGTAGTTAAGTTCCCTACTGTTACTGTATTGCTATAATTTTCTCCCTTCAAATAGGTCTACATTTGCTTTGTAATATATGTGACCTGTTGCTGGGCATGGATGTATGTATAAATATAATGGTTTTCTGTAGAATATAATTGATCTATATACAATAATCTTCTTTGTGTCTTTCTGACAGATTCTGACTTTAAGACTATATTTTTCAGATATAACTATAGCCATACATGGTTTCCTTTGGTTACCATTTCCATGGAATATTTTTTCCTTTATGTGACATTCAGCCTATGTGTGTCCTTAAGTCTAAAGAGACTATATAGACCCAGAAGGAATGAACTCTAGTCGCTCCATCAGCTGGAGTCATCGTTGGTGAAGGTGAAGCTGTCCTAAGTGAGGAAGGCTGTTGGAGTTCTACTCTTTTCCCTCCTGGGAGAAGTCACAGCTGAGGGTATTCCTCTTGATGTCAGCTCTTTTATATATATATATTTAGGTTTTGACAACACCGTGACACTCTGAACACCGATATGGACAAAATTCTAAAGTGAGCAAAATGTCCACAGAGTATCCTTCACATTCCATATTTAATAGCTCTTTTGCCTAATTTAAATTGTGAATAGGTTCTCGTTTGGTAAAGGCTTACTCAGTGAATGGGAACACATGAGGGTTGCCAGCAATAACCATCATTATTAGCTGTTTACAACGTTTCAGGGCCACCTTACATTCAGTATCTTATTAATCTTCACATTCAAGATGTCTGACAACCATGAACATGGTGAACCCAGTGTGGCAGAGGTGGCTAGCTGTTCACCTCCTCTCCCAGAACATACATTTCCCAGTGTTTCCTGCAGTGAGGGGTGACATGTGACTGCGTTCTAGACATGATGGACAAGCTGTACCTTTTCCATATTCTCTTCCACCTTCTGCGAATGAGTAGCAGGTGACAATGAGGTGCTATGAAGGTGATGAAGCTTTAAAGAAAAGACAGGGAGTAATTGCAATGGGCATGATGGAGAATGGAAGAATGGACAGAGCAATCATCTAGGAGGGCACAGAGAAGGCTTTCAATATGTGAAAGAAGTTGGAACTCATGGCAATTTCCTAATACTGTGACAATGATCAATTTTAGAAAGATAAAACCCAGAATAATATAATTATAAGTATACACTATACAAAGCAAGGGTTAACTACTTAATCACTCTCTTGAGCTGAGCATAGCTAACTTCGACCTTTAGAATGAGGTCTATCCTATCTCCAGGAAAAATGTTTAATCTATTCTAGTATATGCATAGTGGTTATAAGCTTTTAATTTGGTAATAATTGACATAGTGTAATTTCATACACTTTATTTTTTGAAGCTAAATTTTGCAATGAATAAAGCTTATACAACTTTGATCAGAGCTCTACTTTAATGGAACACTGATCTTGACCTGAAACAGCTCTGTCTTAGTACACAGGACCAGGTTGTCTGGTGGATTCTCAGCTGAACAGCTTCAATAGAATCATGATTTCTCTCTTTACTTCCTTAGCACCATTTATATAACATAAAAAAGCAGAAACTGTAAAGGATAACTCTACATTGTACATGTAAAAAAACCTAATTTGATTCCCCTCCTTTGAGAGAAGTACAAATACCGCTTGAGTTGCAAATTGAATGTTATAGCTAAGTTGAATCTTTTAAAACTTTGTCAAACATAAGTTTTACAAGCTGTATGTAAGTTTTTTCATTATTTTTTCCAAAACAATCTGAAAGAATAAAAGCCAAATTGAAAGAAAGTTTGTCTTTCCAAAATTGAAAAATTTGATTTTGAGACTTCTCAAATAAAAGGTTGATGACTAGGTTTAACACGCATTTTGGGCCACCTCAAATAGTGAGCAAATAAATAACAATGCAGATGTTCCTCAGCAAAATCAACAGAGATTCCCAAAGAGCTCTAGAAATTATTTACTTATTTAAATACACTTCTCTTTTAATAATGGAAACAACTTTATCAACAGGGACAGTGAGTAAACGAAAAAATGAAAAAACTAAAACAAGGAGAAAACACCAACCTAGATCAACTGTTTGAGGTAAATAGAACTTAAGTGAAAATGATGCATAATAATATTGGAGTCAGGGGATCTGTTATGAGTGGTCATTTAAAAACCATAAGTTAAGGATTTAACCATGCCACACATCTAAAAAAAAACAAACTAGATAACTTAACAGTGTTGCTAAATTTCTTAGTATCTAAACCTTAAGTGGAGGTTAGAAACCAAGTAAAATTGAAAGTGAAGTTATCTTACAAAATGTTGAAATTGTTTCTTGGCTAAGATTAAATTAAGGTTTTTTGGAGTAGAATAATGGTTTTCCTTTTCCTGTTTCCTAAAAAGAAAAAAATCCATCATCATATTCCAGAAAATACAGTCACAATTTAATTTATTCACTGAAATTTCTTTCAAATTATCACTGCTTTCCTAATTAAAATTTGTGGGTTTTACAACTTAAAATTCATTAGAAACTAGCATAAGGAAGCCAAAAAAAGAAAAGGAATGATTAAGTCACTCCCAGGTTCTCCAGTCTGGAGGGTGTAAGATTTTAAACATCAAATAAATTGAGAATTTCTCCTCCCCAGAGAAATCCCTTGTTCCCCATAATATTTCTAGTGTCTTCCAGAAAGGAGAAGACAATCACTAGAATGAGCTTTTATTGTCCATCATCTTCCTACTTCCCAATCTGAGTTTTAATGACTTTTCACTATTTTATCTCATGAAACACGTCCCACCTGCAACTAGTTCCTCCATTGTGGCCACAGCTTTACACCTCTATTCGCCAAAACACTACTAATGTATGGTCACTGCATTATAAGTTTTATGAAAGCTTCAAGAACTGTATATTTAAAGTACCATACAAAACAGGATAAAAATTCAGATTGAAATGTATTTTTAAGTCCTCATGACCATTCTGCACACAGGGGTCTCTTAATTGTTGGCCACATATCTTGTTGAATCCTGGACTGATGATACGTTCTGGGATCCTTTCTCTCTCATGCCTCATTTTCTGAATTACAAATGCTTGCAAACATTCCCAATTCTTCTCTTTTTTCTAATTTTGTAGAAGAAGAAACTTTCTTATTTCAGCCAAGTATTTCCCAACTGTACTGGCCCCAAACACCTCCCCTTTTGCAACAAAAAGAACCATCAAACTGTTTTCCTAAACAACAAACAAAAAAAAGCAATACACAGCCAGAGAGAAATTTATGTATCATCTTGCAACAAAACACAGTATACTTCCAAATTAGAAATGTTTTCTCATATTCCATGCTTTTGAAACAAAAATACTATAATGAAGCACAAGCACAGTATACTAGAAAAAGTAGGAGAATTGAAATCAGAACAGTTAGAGTTTAGTCTAGATTTTATTGTTAAGAAGATTTGCGACTGTAAATCACTAACCTTCTGAGCTTTACCTTAAGATCCATGCTAAAGTATGTTCTGCAAACAATTATGTGCAGTGTTGGAATGTGTAAAAGTATGGAAATCATTTGTAAAAGGAAATACATTGCAGTGTTCACAGATGCAAAATAGGTTGCCCTTAACAGTCTTAGAGAACCTTCCGTCTGTAGCATTAAAAGAGATGCACTGTTACTCAGGGATGTTGGAAAGATAGGAGAAACACATCGTTTGATTCATGCCTCCTATGGCAAGTGCCAGATAAGACATCCCCAATAGCAGCATGTCACCCTAGTTTTCTTGGTTTTATCATTTATACATAAGACTTCTATTTCTAGAGAGAAAAACAATTCAAAATGATAAAGAAAATGAAATAGAGATAAAAATTTTTGTTAATATTATTACTACTATTAACATAAAGGTGAGAAGAAAGGGTTAAAATAGTGAAAGAAAGAGATATCTATTAGGTATAAACTTCAAATTATAAAATAATTTAGTCACAAGCATGCAGTACACAGCACAGTGAAAATATTTCATAATATTGTATACCTCTCTATGGTGACAAGATAATTGCACTTATCAGGATGAACATTTAGTAATGTATATAACTGATGAACCACTAAGTTGTTTAACTGAAACCAGTATAATATTGCATATAATTTATATTTAATTACAAAATGAAAACTATCAAAAAACAAAAGGGAGAATGTAAACATTTCTAAAGTAAAAATAAATTATTTCCAGAATATTAAAATTTCCTTCAACATAAGAAAGAAAAAGGATAAGATGGCTGCCAATAAAATTACTGCAACTAAAAACACAAATTTGCCCACTCCTTTGACTGCACAGACAGATGCTGCTTCTGATCAAAATATCATTCTACTCAGGGTTTTGCGCAGAGCACGTTTAACATCCTTGTTCCTCAAACTGTAGATTAAGGGGTTCATCATGGGGACCACATTGGCATAAAAGACAGAAGAGATTTTTCCCTCATCCATAGACCCAGCAGAAGAAGGTTGGAGATACATAAATGCACATGATCCAAAGAACAAAGAAACAGCAATGATGTGGGAGCTGCAGGTGCTGAAGGCTTTGGATCTGCCCTCAGTGGAGCTCATGCAGAAGATACTGGAGAGGATGAAACCGTAGGAGACAAAGATGGTGAGGCTGGGCACAATGATGTTGATACCCACCACAATGAACACCACCAGCTCATTGACGTACGTGCTGGTGCAGGAGAGCTGGAGGAGAGGGAGGATGTCACACAAATAATGGTTGATGGTGTTGGCATCACAGAAGGTCAGTCTCAGCATGCATCCAGTGTGGGCCATGGAGCCAGAAAAGGCCACCAAGTATGAACCAACCATAAGGCTGGAACATACTTTAGGGGACATGGCAGCATTATACAAGAGTGGGTTGCAGATGGCCACATAGCGATCATAGGCCATTGATGTCAGCACATAGCATTCAGAAATAGCAAAGAAACAGAAAAAGTAAAGCTGACTCATGCACCCCATGTAGGAAATAACATTCTTCTTTGATAAGAAATCCAGCAGCATTTTTGGTGTAAACACAGAACAATAGCAGAAGTCTATAAAGGACAAGTTAAAGAGGAAAAAGTACATGGGAGTGTGGAGGTGTGAATTCAGCCCAATTAGAAGTATCATGCCCAAATTTCCCATTGCCGTGACCAAATACATTCCTAGAAACAGGAAGAACAGGGGGAGCTGGAGATCTGGTTGGTCTGTTAATCCCACCAGAATGAATTCAGTCAGGAAAGAGCCATTTCCAGTAGGCATTCTTCTCTACAGGAGTCTGTGGATACAGGAAAAAGGGTTACATTAGGGAACAATTCAAAAAGTCCTGCACTGTCTCATCTTGAAAGAGAAGGTATAAATGGGAAATCCCTGAGAATAGTCCAACTTCGACCAAGAGCATCTGGCTTTATCACTACCATGATATCGAGTGATACTAATTTGCCCTTATTGGAGCTGAAAAAAGCTGGATATAGCAAAGAGAATCACAACCTAGCCCACAGAGGGAAGGCCAGGCTTCAACATGCAAACACGACTGCTGGAAAAACCAAAGAGGAAGGGTCAGGTTTGGAGCAGGACAGAATAACCCTTCTCTCATCTCACTATTTCTTCCAAGAACACTGTTTCTATTACAAATAAGAAACCAGACTCTTGGATAGGTTAAGTCACTGCCCATGCCACAAGGTAAAGCCATAAATGTAGAAGGGCGAGGGTTTCTACCAGGGAGAAGAAACTGCTGACTGAGATACGGCACCCCCTCATCCCTTAATGTCTCTGAAGGTTACCTGTTCTCACTTCAAATAGATTCTTCTATCGCTTTCTCCTGACCTCAGAACTGCACTAACTGGGAAATCAAGTGGCATGCCTTAGGTCCCTGGCCTCATCTCAAAACAAGGACCATATGATTATGAGCCGAACTCAGAAACTCACCTCCTTAGGTCAGAAAAGCTCAGTGTTCCCGTATCCGTGGTATTTACCCCTATGGTCATGGGGAGGAAACGTCAGGCTCTGAGCCTTTAATACCTTCGATTCTAAGAGGATGAAGCCCAGACTTAAATTCATATATGCATTGGAAATCTTTCTGAGCTACAGATTTTAATTCCTCACTATGACTTTGAATTGACTCAAGCAGTAGAGAAAAATATAGTTTTTGTTATGATCCATTTGCTACCTGATTAGACACAGATTTAATGTGAATTCAATGATACAATGCACTTGGTTATAAACAGGGTTGAAGCTTGCTCAGCTTTTCCTCGGGGAGCAGATTTCTTGAGCAAAGGGGGAGCAAGGAGATCACATCCCCTGGACAATGATATGCATTTATTTCCCTAGGGACTCAGCACTTCACTCATTTTCACTTCACTCTAGGGATTGTACCTCCCTCAGTGCAGATCCAACCTAAATTTCCATGTGTCTATTATCTTAATTTCTGAAGGGTAACCTACTGTCTTTTTTGTTCCTTCTTTATTCCCATATTCTAAGTAGATTTTTTTTCTGCAAGGGTTCTAGCTCCAGCCTTCATTTTTCTTCTCTGAAATTTTTCAAACATGTAATGACCTATTTCAGTTTTTCTCTCCTGCTGGGTATCTCCACATTAACTTGCAATGATGTAAATTAGACTAAATGATGGTCAAGAGATAGCTGATTCTCCCACCAGGCTTATTGGTGACTTCTCCAGGACAAGGCCCGTCCATGAAGATTAGGACAGATGGGTGGTGTGTTTCACGTGCAGACACCAAACCAGAAGGTCACTGAAAATGAAGACAAGTTGAAATATTTTCTAGAAAGGAATAAATGTCTGCAAACTGAATCTAATAAAATGGAAATATGAGATTAACATGATGGAGAAATTTAAATAACTGTCATAAAAATGCTCACTGTGCTCAGAGAATAATAGATGAACCGAGTAAAAATTTCAAGAGACAGAAAACTTAAAATGCTAAACAGAAATTATGCACTAAAGAATGCCGTAACAACTGAGGAATTCACTAAAGTGGTTCAAGAGCACTCAGGTCAAACAAACTAGCAGATAATTGACTGTGAAATGGGGCATGGAAAATCATTCAGTTGGAGGGGCAATATGAAAAAAAGAATGAAAAATACTGAAGAAAGGCAGGGGCTTACTGGACAGTACGAAGTGGATCAATGCATGCCTTTCAGAAATTCTGGCAGGAGAAGAAAGAGAGAGAAAGGACCAGAAGACTTAGTCAAAGAAAAAATGGCTCAAAAATTCCCAAATCATGGCAACCTCCCAATTTAGTCACCTATTTACAGAAAAATAAAACACACAATAATGGCATCATGACTACACACATAGAAAGACCGAGGGTCAATTACTTACTCACTCTTCACTTGACTAATGAGCCAACCTGAACCCCATGTGCGGAATTAGCTCTCTACGATCTCTGGCCACAATGCTTATCCCAGCAGGGGAGACACAGAGTGCTCCCACCCAATACTCCCTGACTCAGCACAAATGTACTTCCTGCTGAGTCACCTCTAAACATGAATTACCATTGTGATATCTGGTTCTTATTCAATTCTTATGTTTCATAGTACTTCTGATGATGGAAGCCCTGTCTTTTCTTTATATCTAAATATATTTGTTTTTTTATAGTCAAAATTACTATCATCACATACAAGTCAAATATAATGTCTAAAAAAGTTCTTCAAGGAAAGCCTTCAAAAGAAAGTAGAAAGGGCTTAGAAAATGAAAAATAAAATACGGGATGAAACTTAGAGCCTACCTTTTTCATTAATGCAAACACATTGACATTTAAGCTACTATAAACCTATACAGTTGGACTATATATTGAATTCCTTCCTCCCAGACACTGGTGGAAACCCCTCATTGATTTTAGTAAAGGATCATCTCCGCCCTGGACTGGGCTGGATCACCCTGCGTGTTACTCAGCCTCTGCTGGCTCTTAGGTATTAATTCTTCTGTACTAGGCAGACTCTTTCCACATATTCGGGCCTTTATTTGCAGTCTTTGCTTATTGATTAGTTTTAACATTCAGTTTAAATAGGGGTATAATCAAAGTTTTGTTATCTCAGTTTATTGTGAAAATTATATATATATACAATTCTACAAAATATGCAAAATGCTTATTTGAAAACGAACAGCTTATAACAACCAAGCAGATCTATAAACAGAGCACTGGCAGCCCCCCTCACCCTGTATTTGCCCCCACTTGATCGTACCTCTATTTATTCTTCCATTCTCCATCCTGACACTCTTGCAATCACACTCTAGTTTTCTTTATACTTTTATCACCTTTCGGAAGGGCTTCATGGAAATCTGTATCCACCCACAGAAAGCCAAATAATGTGGAAGTGATTGTAATGTCCCACAGTCACAGGTTTCCACTTCTTACGTATGTCAGTATTAAGGAAGAACATATTCAAACATGCTGATATGTCAAAAATAAAATGTGAAACACAACTTTTTGACTTTTTCCTTACTTTAGGATTTTGCTTTTATTTGTGTTACAAGGCATTTTTATTACCATAAACCATTGTTCACATTCCACTGGTATTTAGAAGTATGGCAATTTTGTATATTAATAATAAAATAATATGTTGCTATATTTATTTTATTTATTTTTTAATTGAAGTATAGTCAACATACAATATTATACTGGTTCCAAGTATACAACACAGTGGTTCAACAGTTCTGAACATTATTAAATCCTCCTCCCAGGTAGTGTAGACACATGTGTCAATATAGAACAATGTTACAGAAATATTGACTATACTTTCAATGCTGTACTTTTATCCCTGTAACAGATTTCTGTTGGGACTTATTCATTGCTATATTTAGAATCACAATACCCAAGTATTTTTTTGCTGTACAGAAACTTTTTACTTTGATATACTCTCACTTGATTATTTTTGTTTATTTAGCTTTTATGGAGAGTCATATCCAGCAAAAAATTGCTAATGGCAAAGTTCAAGGCTTTACTACCTGTTTTCTCTTAAGAATTTCATGGATTCAGGCCTGGGGATTAACATGAAGAAAATGACCTACTTCAGAAAGATATGTGCACCCTATATTTAATGCAGCATTATTTACAATAGCCATGCTATGGAGGCAACTATGTGTCCATTGATAGATGAATGAGAGAAAATGTGGTACATATGTGCATTGAAATAATAATCACCTATAAAAAGTTGTAATCTTGTCTTTGTGACAACATGGATGGACCTAAAGAATATATGCTAAGTTAAATGAGTCAGACAAGACAAATACCATATGATTCCAATCATATGTGGAATCTGAAATAACTTGAAAAAATAAAAGAAAAATATACTAATAAATATGGAGAACAAACTGGTGAGAGCCATAAGGGAGCGGTGGGGGAAGGAGAGTGATATTTTTCTATTATAAATTAAGAAAGTTGCAGGAATGAAAGTATAGCATAGGAAATAGAGTAAAAGATATTGTAAAACCCTTGTATGGTCACAGATTCTAACCACACTTAATGTGGTGAACATTTCATAATATGCATAAACTATCAAATCAGTGTGTTGTACAGCTGAAACCAATATAATATTATATAGCAACTATACTGCAATACATATAAAAAACACCCAAATTCCAGTCTCTTCTCCACCGTGTAAAAGTTGTGTCTTGCAACAAACCATGAACACATCTGACCATCAGCTCCATCGTCTATGAAATAAGAATGAGGATTCCCTCTCCTGTTCATCTCACATCACTACCTTCAGAAAACACAAATGGACAGATGTGACAGTGCAAAGATGAAACATGATAAAAGCGATTACAACACTCTTCTTAATAGTAATATTTAAAGTGGTTTAATTTAACTCTATGTCACAGAGAAATTTCAAACATCTTATGTGATTCCACAAGCCCTCCCACTGTCTGAGGAAGATGAGAGTATCCATCTCACAAAGTAAAGCTTCTCACTGGGTGTGATTTTAATGTTTAAAGGTGCCTATTTTCTACAATAAGTGTCCCAATGCTAAACAGAAAAACCAACTGTGCCAGACTTAGGGAGAAGCACCACATCTGTCTCAACAGGGATTTTGAGACAATAAAATCTATTTTAAGAAGTTATTTTGACCATATGAGACTGATTTTAGGACCTATTGATGAAGTATGTAGTTCTACTCTGTTGCATTATGAGGATCTCCATGTGTATCTTTCTCTTACCGTGCCTTATTCATGAATGTGGCCTAGAGCCCCAGGTCACTGTTAGGCAATGAGATGCACAAACTGCTTATGTATGTGTACATGCAGGAGTGTATGC